AGAATGGATGTCAGGATCCTAAAATCAACAAGAAGAAGGTGCTACCATCTTGAGCTCTAACCCCAGGAGCAGTGTTGGAACTGTGACGTCTGCAGAAAGGATGGTTGGCTATACCTGCTTTCATATTGACATTAAATGGTCATATTTCCTTGTTTGTGCCTCCCCTTTCTGCTTTTTATGGGATTTAAAAAAAAGTTAAAGATGGGAATCTCACCTGCGACCCTCCAGTTCACACACATACTTGAAGTAAGCAGTCCAAGTAGGCGGCTGCAGTGAGGGGAGGAGTGAAATAAGCGCAGTCAAGACGGACAGTTCTGACCTCTCGAAGTGGAGCAGATACCAACGAGATCAAAGGCGGATATCGCGTTATTCTCACTCATGTGCTGTGTTGCTAATAAACATGATATGATTCCAGTTATATTGTTTTTATATGAAAATAAATAAGATGAACAAGACACTCAAAGTGCTTGCTATTTAATTCCATACGAAAGGCGTATTTATCATCCATTTTTACTTTAATACAAACATGTATTTTAGATTTTTATAGAAATATTACAACAATCACATATCTCACGCAGAGATCGCACTGTCATAGTGTTTGGAATATTCATGCATAATTTAAATACATAATCACATGGAACCAGAAAAAAAATAAAACATTTTAGAAGAGAACACAGCATCACAGTTGTCTGAACCAATGAGCATTAAGGTGTGTCGTCAGCCAGTCGTTTCCCATCATGCTTTTGGTCAGCGCAGTCGGCGGAGAGTTTTTTTGGCATAGGCTATGTCAGCATGACATCAGAGCAAGTCGGACTAACTCGGACACTTTTCTAACCGGCATGCATCTCGCGGTGATCACCGGTGATCGGTTCTGCGCAGATTTTGCTCATCTCAAACAAGCCTATTTATTGCTTATTGTATACTGTTTCACACACTATTCTTTAAAAAATAGTAGGCAGTATGCACTGTGTACTGTGCAGTAAGCAAGTATGCCATTTCGAACACAGCCTATGTTTTTTTTTTAATTATTATTCACTGAGCTAATCGTAGAGTACGTTAGTTAATATAAGAAGAAACGTCTAGCTTCGCGGTCTCTCTCTCTCTCATTTGGATGCACGTCTTGCCGCATTGATTCTCTCTTATAACCTCACTATTTCTCACAAATAACCTAAGCAGCACATGCCCTTGATACGAATTCTAAAAGTGACGTATGTTTAACTGTCAACTTGAGCTTTGAATCCGTGGCGGAAGGAAGTAGTTCCGCACAAAAGAGGGTTTATTAGGCACCTCCGTTGTTTCTTG